AAAAAAAAAAAAAAAAAAGAAAAAAAGGAAAATGGGTCTTTCCCTTCAGGAACCAATGCGCAATTAGCTGAGCTAATAGCCTTAACCTGGACTTTAGAAATTGGGAGAAACAAATGAATCGATATATATGCCTTCCTCATCTTGCATGTCCATACTACTATTTGGAAGGAAAAACGATACCTAACTTCTAATGGCTCCCCCAAAAACCATCATCATAAAATAAGACAGATTGTTACAAACCATTCATACTCCACAAGAAGTAGCAGTTATTCATTGTAAGGGACACCAAAAGACCTTAGATGAGATTTCTAAAGGTAATCAACTTACTGATAAAGAGGCTAAAATAGCAGTACAGAAAGGAACAATCCTCCTTGTGGTGCTCCTTATTTGGAGGGATCACTTGAGAATCATGCACCTCAATATACACAAAAAGAAAAGGAATGGGCTTTATCTAGAGACTATTCACTACTTCCATCAGGCTGGCTACAAAATAGAGGTGCACTTTTGCTATATTACCTGCTGCAAGTCAATGGAAAATACTTAAAACGTCACATCAGTCTTTTCATTTTGGCAGTGAAAGTACCTATCAAATGGCTAAAGCTCTCTTTAATGGAAAAAACCTATTTACAACCATAAAACAAATAACAAGGACTTGTGACGTATGTCAGAAAAACAATCCTCCCCTAGCTATACAGAGACAAGGTAAGTATCCAGGTGAAGATTGGCAAATGGATTTCACTCACCTCCCTAAGGTACATGGTATACAATATTTGCTGGTATTTGTGGATACTTTTACTAATTGGGTTGAAGCATTCCCTTGCAGGACAGAAAAGGCCCAGGACTGAAAGAGCTTTTCTGTCCTAGAGATCTGGTCATGATCAAAACCCTTCCCTCCAATTTATCTTCCCTAACTCCAACTTGGGAAGATTCCCTTTTCTGTTATCTTGTCATCTTCTACAGCTATTAAAGTTATGGGAATAGATTCCCGGATACATCATTCAAGAGTAAAATGCTGAAATCCTCCACCTTCTACAGAAGCAGACCATGAAGAGAATCAACCACAGTTCACCTATACTTGTGAGCTTAAAGAAAGTTTAAAGTTATTGTTTAGAAGACAGCAAAGAAAATGTTAATACAGTTTTCTGTTAGCATTACTGACTTGGTTCTTCTAATCTGACACCGTAATTAACCCTTCCTCTCACTGTCCTACCCTTGCCTTTTAATATGCTAGTCAGATTTGTGTTTTCCAGAAAACCACACACAGTAAAGATGGTTCCAGTCCAGGAACTGATTCTATCGTGGACCCCTGGATCACTCTCCCTCCGGAAAAACCCTAACTGCCACCTACTAGCACTGCCCGATTCAGCAGGAAGCAGTTAGATCCAGTCTTTGCCCTTTTTCCCTAACAGCAGTTATAGTTTCTACTTGGAGAGGGAGAATTGATACAAGACAGGTGGCACCAGGACCTGCCGCCTTAGCCCTGGCAGTGTTAGTGCTGTGGCAGCTGGTAGAGCAACCAGCAGGCTGGTGGGTAGGCCCTAGGAGGCTCCAGTAGCCGGAGGAGCCAAGTAACTATGGAGAAGATACCAGGACCTTGGTGTCTCCTTCACCTTGTACTTCGCCTGAAGGGGAAACCCCACCTTTTCAAGGGTTGGTCAATTTCATGTAAGTTTCCAAGGCCTGAGAGTTCCAGCCTCCTGCTGCTAAATGGAAGGCTGAAAGTCACTTTAGAGGACCTTCCCTACATGTAACCATTGAGTTCCCGAAAAATAACCCCCTGCAACTATATATACCCCTGAGCAGAGAGCCCCGAGACAGACAGAGAGAGGGAGCGAGAGAGCTTGTTCCCTGACCTGGGTCCTCTCTGCCAAGAGCTTTGGTGTTTTTGTATTTTTTGTTTCTGTAAATAAATTCTGTCTTACCACTGGAAAAAAGGAAAAGTTTTGTTTTTTTGGCAGCACTCCTGACCTCTACCCACGGTATGCCAGCAACACTGCCAACTGTTTCAGCGGGGAAAGCAATGGCCTCTGGTTGAGAACTACCAACTTATAAAATTGATAACTAGTGATAACTAAAGTCCTTGAGGCTACCTATCTAGATTATAGAAAGTTTTGGAAAATCAAAAACCACTGATGAACTGTTAAGTGCTGATCAATTAGCTTATTAGAGCTCCCACCTATAATGGCAAAATTTAGTGTTAAGAAAACGCTGTAGGGTGGTGCCTGTGGCTCAGTGGGTAGGGTGCGGGCCCCATACACCAAGGGTGGCAGGTTCAAACCTGGGCCCTGCTGAATTGCAACAAATAAAATAGCTGGGTGTTGTGGTGGGTGCCTGTAGTCCCAGCTACTTGGGAGGCTAAGGCAAGAGAATCACCAAGCCCAGGAGCTAGAGGTTGCTGTGAGCTGTGATGCCACGGCACTGAACCGAGGGCGATAAAGTAAGACTCTGTCTCTACAAAAGAAAAGAAAAGAAAAGAAAAAACTGTACTGAAATAGAAACAGCACAGGGTGGAGTCTGGGCTCTGTTGCTTGTTGGCTGGTAACCTTTACCTCCCTGAACCTTGAGTTACTCAAATGCAAAATGGGCATACTAATACCCACCCTTCAGGGTGGTAGGGATCTTTAAGATACAATGAAATTGGCTGGGTCGGTGGCTCATGTCTGTAATCCTAACACTCTGGGAGCCCGAGGTGGGTGTGGATTGCTTGAACTCATGAGTTTGAGACCAGCCTGAGCAAAAGCAAGACTCCGATCTCTACTAAAAATGGAAAAAAAAAAAAACTAAAGCAAGAGGATCACTTGACCCCAAGAGCTGGAGGTTGCTGTGAGCTATGACGCCATGGCCCGCTACCCAGGGTGATAACTTGGCACTCTTGTCTCAAAAAAAGGAAGAAAAAAGATACAATGAGATGAGATGATTTTAATATTATTAAATGACCTAATTTCAAAGATTAATTTTAGGGCTCAAAAAGAAAGGATTATCAACTTCATTTAAAAAAAAAACAAAAACCCACCCCCCAAAACAGGTTTTCATTTAAAAAAAAAAACCCAAACCATCACTGATTTCCTATTTAAATAAATGGTATAGATCTAATACTTTCCCTTAAAAGGAAAAAATTTCAGACCTAGTGGCTGCCTTCTTGGAAGTCTGAGAGCCAGTTGTTTCCTGCTACCTGCTGCTCTGGCCTGTGACTCAGTCAGCTCCTGAATCTTTGCACAGCTGTGGGGCTACAGTCTTTACCTGGCACCTGATTGGCCATCTGTCGTCTGAGTGCTGCAGCAGCAGCTGCCTGGGGAGCAGAGATGGGGTGAGAAGGACTAGGTGCACCATGCTTCACGGTTTTCGTTGCCAGCATTGTGCTATCAGCCCCTTGAGGAATAATTTTACTAGTAGCCGTAGACACTGAGGGAAAAAGAAAAATAAAGCAAGAGAGTAGGTCAGAGAACAGGAACATACAAAAGTTAAAATGGTAAATCCTCCTTTAGGTTGCAAAGAAAATGCTAAAATTAAAAATGTGTGAGCATTAACATAGACAAGTGCCGATAAACTGGCTGGCTGGCACCTGTATCTGTCAAAGACAGCACATGCCATTTGCCTGTCCGCCTCACTGTTAGTGTGTATACATTACATGAGCATCTCTTCTGATACAGATTGAGGCGTAACATTTATACCAATATAGATTATTCCCTGAGCTCCTCTCTTCAAGAATCTCTTCGTTCTAGTACCTCATGTCTATATTTTTCTCTGCTAGAAATCACTTTGATGTAAAGTCCTGAGACTCTGTACCACAGGTGTGAGAGCATAAAACAGGTCACATCTGTGAGCCAATAATGACACTGAGCACTAGAGCTGGTGTGTTTTGAGGCCAAATATGCTGCAAGGCTGAAACAACCAAGATTTGAAAAGCATGAGTGTGGACGTCACTTCATACTGAGGCAGACAGCCTCTCCCTTTCACTCTTGAAAAAAACTTTTTTAGAAAACACAGCTGGGCTCGGCGCCTATAGCTCAACCGGCTAAGGCACCAGCCACGTACACCTAAGGTGGCGGGTTCGAATCCCCAGCCCGGACCCGCCAAACAACAATGACGGCTGCAACCAAAAAATAGCCAGGCGTTGTGGCGGGCGCCTGTGGTCCCAGCTACTTGGGAGGCGGAGGCAGGAGACTCGCTTGAGCCCAGGAGTTGGAGGTTGCTGTGAGCTGTAATGCCACAGCACTCTGCCCAGGGGGACAGCTTGAGGCTCTGTCTCAAAAAAAAAAAAAAAAAGAAAAAAAAAGAAAACACAGCTGGACTCAATAGAAAAGCTGTTATTGTGCATAACCTTGGAAAGTCTCTCTTGGCTTTGCAAAGGGAACCTATACCTTTTGAATTAAGTTTTCCAGTGTCTGGAATATTAGCAGAAATGGGTTGGAACCAACAACCTTATTGGTGTGATAGTATATAACTCAGTTACAGTTCCTTCATTAGTTAGAAAGCTAACAGGGAAAAAAGTTAGTTTCCTTTCTCACTGTTTACTTACGTGAAGTTCCCATCACACTAGGTGAAGACCCATGAACCAGATGAGATTTAGCAAAAGTGGCCTGGGGCAAGAGACTGGGCTGGATGGAAGGAGTACGAGCCACGGGTGCATGCCGAGGAACCTGAACCACCATCTCCTCATCTTTACAGGATGGCTGGGCATCTTCATTCTCCAGAGACTGGGAGACAGATGACGTTGAGCTGACTTCATCCAAGTCTTCATAATATCTCTGAGATAGAAAGGCTGACCGAGACAAGCTGGCTATAGAAGCAGCAAACAAAACAATTTAGACAACTTAAAGGAAGTCCAAAAGCAGTATAATTTTAATGCCAATAAAAAAAAATCCCATTTGGGGGTGGTGCCTGTGGCTCAAAGGAGTAGGGTGTTGGCCCCATATGCCGGAGGTGGCGGGTTCAAACCTAGTCTCAGCCAAAAACTGCAACCCCCCTCCAAAAAAATCCCATTCGTAAAATAATTTGGTTATTACTTATTTGAAATGGAAGCAGCTGTTGTCAAATTTAAACAAAGATGATTGAGTCTTTGTTCAAATGGGGCTTTGAAACACTGAGCTGTGTGGAGAACATTTTCGCTGTCGAACAAAAGAATGTGAAAAAGTGAGAGGCAGACTTAACGTTTTGGTGTCAAAACAGGAGACCTTGAGCCTTTGCTACAAGTTGTCAGCAGTAGAACAACATACCAGAAAAGTGACAGACAAGCTTCCAAGGTAGGGTGAACAGTCATGCCATTACTGCTGCCTGCCAACGATCAACTCCTAAGACAGACCTGATGCATGCTGGGAAGACAGTGTCCTCAGCCCTCCATGTCTCCAGCATTTCCAGATAAATCCAATGATTTTTTTTAATCAACTTTTTTTTTTAAAAAAGTACAAACAACAAAACACTGAATTCAATCCTTCCTGGCCTTCTGTTTTTCTTCCCTTCTTTAAGGCTTATGAAATAAGGCTTTACATTATGTTACTTTCTATCATGAATTCAGAATGCATGTTACTTCCTGTGTACTAGAAAAAATAAATATCAAACAGAAAACCTAGCCCTTTCTCCTCCAAGTTATATCAAATGACTTTTCTAATATTTATGGACATGTAGGTCCCATATGCACATCGTTCTATAAGATTTTGTCACAAAATGCCATAAATATACATGCAACATAAACAAATGTGATGGGAAGCACATACCCAGGACACTAGGATCACAGACCTATAGCTGCATGGTACTGAATTCTGCCAACAACCTGATTCTTTTTAATCATCTACTTTTTAAAAAAAAGTACAAACAACAAAACAGTTGATTCCACTGACAACTGGCAGTGGAATCGTTCCCAGAACCTCCAGATAGGAGCTCAGCTGAACCAGTACCTAGACTGCAGCCTGTAGGCCCTGAGGACAGCTAAGCCACACTGAGTTCTGACCACACACAGGTGAAAGGCCTATATGCCTCTGGCCAGAAAAGCTGTTTGAGAGAAAGCAGTGAAAAGACTTTGTGCAGGCATACTTATGAGAAGTGGAGGCAGAATCCCATATGGTCAGGAGGTTGCGGACCTAAAAACCCCCTGACCTAAGGTTGGCCTGGTCGGTTGCAGGCATAAAACCTTCCTGACTTAAGGCCCACATGGGAGCGGAGGTTTGCACACAAATTTCTGTATGCCTTAGAAGTTTCTGGCTCAGCACCTGTGGCTCAAGTGGCTAAGGCGCCGGCCACATACACCTAAGGTGGCGGGTTCGAATCCAGCCCAGCCCACCAAATAACAATGATGGCTGCAACCAAAAAAAATAGCTGGGCGTTGTGGCGGGCGCCTGTGATGCCATAGCACTCTACCCAGGAGGACAGCTTGAGGCTCTGTCTCAAAAAAAAGAAAGAAATTTCTTAATTATGCTTCATTTTTAAGATCGAAGTAACTGCCTCCAAATAGCAAGGTAAGTAGAACAGACTTTCAAACCATCTTTTTCCTCCATAGTCTCAGGCTTGATCAGATAAGAACAAAGATAGTAATGACTGACAACATGTTCTCCATTAAGTTATGTTAAACCGCGTTATATTGAAAGGGTTATGCTTAAAGGTGTATGTTGAGTGGATTATCAGATTACTAGAAAGGAGCTATTTACAAGGCGGGTAGTCACAAGATGTTTAAATGGATTAATGAAGTCACTGATGTCCAATGCGCATGTGCAGAGGGACTGTAATGCACGTTAAGGAGGTCAGTGCTGTATAGTGCGCATGCACAAGATTCCCTATATAAACCAACAGTAAATAAAGAAAGCTCGCCATTTTGCCTGAGCAAGCAGATGGTCACCTTTATTTAAAATATAATTTCAACAAGCGTGCTTATTCTTTACGACATTGCTTTTCTGTGAGACCCTAACGGCAACACCCTTACAACAACACCACAGAACTGAGAAAATAAATAAGTGATGTTTTAAGCCAGCATGTTTGTGATTATTTATTACAGCATCCATAGGAAACTAATACAAATCACACATTCTCTTGGGACCACATTGCTGTCCACAATTTCTCTAAAATCCTAGTTCTTGAGAAATAGTAACAACAAAAGACAGCTAACATCACACCACCTTCGAGAGTCAGACAGAATGAGAAAGTAGAATAACTATGTTTAACTCTCAGGGTCCAATATAACCTGGGGTTCTCTTCAGTTTCTTTCCTTCATTTTTCTGATGACATTCACTTGCCTTGAGGGGAGAGAATGCTTCCCTTCCCAAGGCGAACTGAAAGATGCCCTGGCCATGTTCACTTGCAGAGGCTCAGAACCTGGACTACTCACTATCCCAATGGTGCTGCCTCCAGCTGATGGGTGCCACTCCCTGCTGTGATCAAGGGGGCCCCAGCGAAACAAACAAACTGACTGACTGACACAGGGTCTTGCTCTTTCGCCTAGGCTAGAGTATAGTGGCATTATCATCTCACTGCAACCTCAAACTCCTTGGTTCAAGCAATCCTCCTGCCTCAGCCTCTCAGTAGCCACCTGCCCAGCTAATTTTTGTGTATGGGTTTTGTGTGATTGGAGACATGGAGTCTTGCTATGTATTCTAGCTATGCTATGATTTTGAACTCCTTGCCTCAACCAATGTTCCTGCCTCTGCCTCCCCAAGAGTGAGGATTATAGGCATGAAATTTAAAGAATCTTATTCCGTTTAAGCTTTATTAAGATCAGAATAGAAAAGCAGAAAGCCACATGAGCACTGGGTGCAGTGGGGGGGGCAGGTGAGATATATGATCATAGGTTGAACTATGAAAGTGTTCCTTTTAAGATCAAGGTTAAGGATACCCACACTCCATTTTTACTGGACTTTGCATTGGAGGTTCCAGTCAACAGAATGAGGTTAAGAAAAAGGAATAAAAGGATTGGGAAAGCAGAAATATCAGTGTTAATATCCATGGAGAATATAATTGTTACCATAGCTACAAGTCCAAGAAATATGTAATAGCTACAGATATGAGAATAAATGAGTTTTACCAGGTGGTTAGCTACAAAGTCAATATGCAAAAATCAACTGTATTTCTATATAGCATATCCAACAAAACAAAACTGAGGGGAAAAGCCACCATTATAATACGGGTAGCATCAAAATATTAAACTTTTAGCAATAAGGGCATCGTCTGTGGCTCAGTGGTTAGGGCGCTGGCCCCATATACAGAAGGTGGCAGGTTTGAACCTGGCCCCGGCCAAACTGCAACAAAAATAGCTGGGCATTGTGGCGGGCGCCTGTAGTCCCAGCTACTCGGGAGGCTGAGGCAAGAGAATTGCCTAAGCCCAAGAGTTGGAGGTTGCTGTGAGCTGTGACACCACAGCACTCTACTGAGGGTGATAAAGTAAGATTCTGTCTAAAAAGAAATTTTTTTTTAGCAATAAATCCAAAAAAGATATGCATGTCCCTCCTGCAGAAAACATCAAGAGAAACTTGACATGCGCCATGAGCAGGGACTAAGAGGCAGCACAGTGCGAATGTCAGCCAAAGTGACCCAAGACTCGATACACTCCCAAATCCAAATCTCAACTTCTCTTTGATGGCCAAAGGAGGTAAAAAATTTCCCCTTTTTCTCTTGTGGTGAGACATACAGAACATAAAATGCACTATCATGACCATTTTTTAAGTGTGTAGTTCTATGGTGCTAAGTACATTTGCAATTGGCAACCATCACTGCCATCTATCCCCAGAATTTTTCTAACATTGCAAATCAAAATTCTGTCTACACTAAACAGTAACTCCCCAGTCTTCCTCCTCCAGTCCCCAGCAGCCATCATTCTACTTCCTGCCTCTATGATTTTGATTATTCTAAATACGGGAGGTAGAATTTAACACGAAAATGTTAACGTTAACACGGAAATGTAGAGCACCAAGAAGATCAGGGGACAGCAAACTACAATCATGGGCCAGCTGTCTTTTCTTATAAATAAGGTTTTATTGAAACAGACACATCCCTATCTTACACACTGACTGGCTGTTTTCCCTTTACAATGGCAAACTTAGATAACTGCAACAGAAACTACAGGGCCTACAAGCCTAAAATATTCACCATCTGTCTCTATAAGAAAAAAGTTTGCAAACCCCTATTCCAGAGCATTCTACAATGATAAAACATTCTCTATCTGTGCTTATCATTATAGTATCCACTAGGCACATGTGTCTACTGAGTATGTGAAATATGGCTACTGGGACTGTGAAAGTGAATTTTTATTTAATTTTAATTAATTTAAATAGGGTACCTTACTGGACAGAACAGCTCTAAAATCTTGCAAGAGATCGGTATTGAAGGCTTAGTCAAGTTAGGGTAGTGGTGTAACTTTCTAATTAGTGTGTGAGACCAACAAAAATACATCTATATGAATAACAGGTTCACAACAAAGGTGACTCTGCCAAACAGGGAAAGAAATCTTTACAAAAAGCAGTTTGGGGATAATCAGATACCTAAATACAAAAAAAGACAAGTGAGCTTTGTTTCATATCATACATAAAAATCAATTTTAGATAGAATAAGCAAAATATGGTACATCCACGCAATGGAATATTATTCAACAGTACAAAGGAATGGACTGCTGAAAAGAAGAGTAAAGAAAAAACACTGACAATATCAAGGTTGGCAAGGATAAGGAATAACTGGACCGTTCATACGCTGATGGTAAAGTAAAAATTGGTGTTACCACTTTGGAAAACTGGCCAAATCTACAAAAGCTGAGCATATGGACAGAATAGAGCCAGTAATGTTATTCTCCTAGCTACGTGACCACGCGGGCTCTGAGAGACAGGCACAGAAATGGTCTAAACATCCATCCTGCGATGGCTATAAACTGAAGATAGCACGTGGACACCAGGAGAATGGACAAACGCACGCAGCACGTTCACATAAAGGATACTTCACAGCAACAAAAACAAGTAACAGGCAACAACATGGATGAATCTTACAAACCTGTGGAACAAGAGACGACCAACTGGATAATAAATAAATGGCCTTACCAAAAAAACCAAGTAAAACCAAGCAAACCAAGCAAGTGTTTAGGGAGGTACGCTTAAGAAGTAAAGCTCTGAAGGAAAGCACAGAAAAGGAGTCTAAAGAGAATGACGACTTAATGCAACATAGGATCTTGGATTGAAGCCCTGATTTTTTTTTTAAGTCAACATGTAGGACATATGTGGGATAGCTGGCAAAATGTGATTATCCACTGTATATGAGACGGCAGTATTCTATCCATATTAAATTCCCTGAATCTAACAACTGCATTATGGTTGTATAAGAGAATGTTCTTGTTCTTAGAGGATAAATGTTGAAACATTTCTAGGTTAAAGGTCCTGTCTTCAATTTATTCTCACTTCAACAAAAGTAATTACAATATGGGAGAATAGAAAAAAATAAAGCAATTGTGGCAAACATTAACTGGCAAATAAGGGTGAAGAGTAACTGGGTGTTTACCATATTCTTGCAATTGGAAGTTTCAATATTTTCAAAACAGTAAAAAAATAACAAAGCAAAGGCCTAATTCTTACACATGTCTGTATAATGGTATCTTTGAGAGGAAGGCGGAGAAGAGGTAAGCAAAGAGTAGTTTCTAAGGAGACGACTATGTTGTTTCTGAACGTGGGAAGAGGTTACATGGACACACATTTTTGTTTTGTGCATTTTTCTATATGTGTGTTATATTTCACAATTTAAAATAAAAATGTTAGGCTGGGTGCCGTGGCTCACGCCTGTAATCCTAGCACTCTGGGAGGCCAAGGTGGGTGGATAGCTTGAGCTCATGAATTTGAGACCAGCCTGAGCAAAAGCAAGACCCCTGTCTCTACTAAAAATAGAAAAAACTAAGGCAAAAGAATCGTGTGAGCCCAAGAGTTAGAAGTTGTGAGCTATACCACGGCACTCTACCCAGGGCAACAGCTTGAGACTCTGTCTCAAAAAGAAAAAAAATAATACATCAATAAAGTAAAATAAAAATGTTTCTATGCTCTTATTCTTCCCAGCACACGCTCTAGTATTAAGTAAGTATAATGTGCAGTTATCTGCCTAATGTCTGTATTTCCCTCTTCACTGAAGTCCTATGTGGGCAGAGACCATGTTTCCTTATTTACTCACTTAGAAGTAATCAATCTGTCATAAAAATATAATCAGAAATATAGGTCAAGAATTTGTGAACAAAGACGTTCTGAGCAAAATCTTGGCAGTAAGATTAACATGTAACAGGGACTGAGTAAATTATGGCCTAATACAAGGAAAATTATGTAGTTTACATAAGGCAAGTGTTCAAAGAATATTTAAAAACAGAAGACAGAGAAAAGGCTTATGAATTTTTTTCTAATTTGAAAAAATGTAGTAAAATATACATAACAAAATGCACCACCTTCACCATGTAAACGTGCAGTTCAATTATCTCAGGCAGTCACACTGTTGTGCAATCATCACCACCATCCCTCTCAGAACTATTTTCATCTTGCAAAATTAAAACTCTGCCCCCAGTAAATGACTCCCCATTCCCTTTTCCACTCCCCTAGGTGGCTGGGGAGTGGAAGGAGTCCACTGTCTACTTCTCGTCCCTATGAATCTCACTTCTCTAGGAATCTCATACAGAATCACATCAGACTTGCCTTTTTTCTGACTGGCTTATTTCATGTAGCATGTCCTCCAGGTTCACCGATATGTCAGAAAGTCCCTCCCTTTTAATCCTGAATAATATTCCATTATATACACAGACACAGTTTTGTTTAGCCATTTATCCCTCGACACGTTTTTTACCTGTTAGCTATTCTCAATAATGCCACTATGAACAATCTCTCTGAGCCTTCGTTTTCAATTCTTTTAAGTATATACCCAGAAGTGAAATTGCTGAATCATATGGTGACTCTATTTTTAGTTTTTTCAAGAACCACCAGCTTTTCCACAGTGGCTGCACTGTATCACATTCCTACCAACAGTACATAAAAACTCCAATTTCTCCATTATCTTTGCCAACACTTTTATGGACTCATAAATTTTTAATTTTTAAAATATCAGAATACAAAACTATAACTGTTATAATCCCAATCTCATTTTCTCTTTTCTAGAGACAGGCTGGAATGCAGCGGCTCAATCACAGGGTCATGTGGTCCTCCTGACTCACTCAGTCTTCTGAGTAGCTGGGACTATAGGTCAGTGCCACCATGCCCAGCTAATTGTTAAAAGTTTTTTTTGTATAGACAGAGGTCTCACTCTGTTACCCAGACTGGTCTTGAACTCCTGGTCTCAAGCAATCCTCTTGTCTCAGCCTCCCAAAGTGCTGAGATTATAGGCATGAGCTACCACACCCAGCCTCATTCTCATTTTCAAAAAATCAGATTTACATGTGAAAAGAAAAAACAGTTTGGGAGTAAACCAAAATGACCTAAGTAAGGCCCTATTTTAGTTGAGAAATAAAGATCATTTAATTCCGGCTTGGTGCCCGTAGCACAGTGGTTACAGTGCCAGCCACATACATAGATAGTCAATGGCAAAAAAAAATAATTTTTCATTAGCTATATGGCTTCTTTTCAGGAAGTGTTTTTAACCATCATTGCCCAATTAGTTTTTTCTACTTCCTCAAGAAAAAAAGGCTTTTTTTCTGAATGTAATCTTTTCCAAATGTAATCCACACCCTATACAAAGCAGAAAAGTAATGTTTCTCTAGCTAAAGCAGAGATCCAGCTCAGTTTACCTTAAACCCTTGTGAATCATTGCCATACTACCTGGGGACTTCGGAAAAAATAGTACAAAAGCCAAATCAATTACCTTGGTGTGTAAGTGTAGATAAGCTGCTTCTTATGTCAGTATTGACTGACAACAGACCCTGGGGACATCTTCTCTACCCCCTATTAAGAATCAACATACACTAACATACACGCATGTACCCTGTCATCATGTACTATACGGTTTAGGGTAAAAAACTAAGAACAAATCCCTTTACCTGGAGCAGTGGATCTCACAGGTGGGGTCTTCCTCTTTGCCAAGAAGTTTCTCAGTTGTGCCTGCTTCATGGTGGACAGTTTAGCTGCAAGAAATTCATGAACCCATAAATGCTTAAGACTTGGTTTTTAAGATGTTAATGTAAAAAAAAAAAATGTCAATAGCTGGAAGAGGATTTAAAAAACTAAAAGACTGGGAAGGATTTACCTGGTACTTTGGGCAAGGGTTTAGCATGAGATTCTATGGTGGTTTTCAACAAAGCATTGCGAAGGCTTTCAAGATCACTGTCAAAACTGAAACAGGACAATGTTACATACAGACCAATTAGGAGCTGAGAGATCAGAGGCTGCAGGGATGTACTATTTTTTTAAATGTAAATGCAAGGGATGCGAGTGTCCTCAATATAAAACATGCCATCTGACCAACTGATGCACTTGTCTAAAAGGAGATCACCACCTCAGTATGACACACCACTTCCATAGAAAACACATACTATAGAGCAGGCATCCTCAAACTATGGCGGGCAGGCATAGGCGGCCGGCCTAGGACATTTATCTGGCCCGCCAGGTGTTTTTGCCGTTGCTGCCTGTCCTGCTTAGCAGCCGACTTGTCCTGGGGCCCGCAGTCCAGTCCTCCAACGGTCTAAGGGACAGTGAACTGGCCCCCTGTTTAGAAAGTTTGAGGACCCCTGCTATAGAGCCTGAGAATGAAGGGCAATTAAAATCTACACATTCGGCCTAAAAGCAGAATCACAAAGGGCCTTTGGTAACATTAAGGGTAAACTGCTGCCCGAGCCTGAAAAGGCTTCACATTCAAACAGAAAGGCAAATCTGGGCTTCAGAGACCAGTCAGTCACCCTAATCCTAGCAGCTGACACAACAACACTGTCACTATAGTACCACTATGATAAATTGAGCACCTACTTTACCAGGCACACTAGTTACTTTATAGACTTAATTTAATTCTCCAAAAATCTCACGAGGCAGGTATTATCATCCTTGTATTTTAGGTAAAGGAACAAAGGTTAAGAGAGGGTGAGGAACCTGACCAGGATCACAAAAGTAACAGACAGCAGTCACCTTCAAACCTACATCTCAACCATGCTAAGACTGTCCCACATTACTCCCCAAATATTTATTCATACATTTATTCAACCAGATTAATTGAGTGCAAGTTCTTTGCAAACCTGTTAGTGCTGCTCTGAGAAGGGACAGCTGAGGGAAGGCTCCAAGGGGAAGTTTGGTTATAAAGACGGAGCTGCTGGAGACTGTCCACAAGGTGATTCAACCTCTTCCTCTGCTGGTTGATGATTTCCCGGTTGTTGGCTAGGGTGTTAAATAGTGTCTCTCGCTCTGGCACAAGCAGGTGCCTAAGGACAACAATGGGGAAAGAATTGAGTATGAATGTTTAAGTAAAGGAACCCCCTACAAAAAACCAAACTACAACAAGAGTGAAAACAATAAAATGGAGAAAAGGCCTAATCCTACAACTCCAGTGTAGGTATGTCCAATGCCTATCTGATCTGACTGTCAGATCTGTATGGGCACTTCACACCGTCACAGTGTGCTGCAGTCTTCTCCTCCCAGAAGATGTGTGGCACGAGACCAAGTATCTAGGGAGGAAAGACTAGACTAAAAGGGTTTCCATTCCTTTGCCACCATTCCTCTCGTCCTTTTAATGATCCACACTAAATAGAAGTTTTTTAAAAGAAAATTTGGAAAACACAAAAAAGTCTAAAGAAAATCTTTCTCTTCATCCTATCTTGCAGATTTAATCAAATATTTTGATAAGCTTACTTCTAGTCTCTTCTCTATGTATTCTCCAAGTTGAGTATGCATTTTTCCCTTATTTTACTATTTTTATATATGTTTATATAATATAGTTTATTATAATAAACTACATATTACATACTTTAATGTAACATGGAAAATATATTGACTATAATTTGGGGGAGGAATATGCTATTCAATGGTTACAAAGTATTCTGTAGTAAGAAAAAAATTATGGCTCGGCACTCATATCACAGTGGTTACAGCACCAGCCACATACACTGAGGGTTGTGGGTTTGAACCTGGCTGAGGACAGCTAAACAACAATGACAACTGCAACAAAAAATAGCCAGGTGTTGTGGCAGGCACCTATAGTCCCAGCTACTTGGGAGGCTGAGGCAAGAGAATTGCTTAAACCCAAGAGTTGGAGGTTGCTATGAGCTGTGATGCCACAGCACTCTACTGAGGATGACATAGTAAGACTGTCTCAAGAAAAATAATAATAAACAACAATAAAGAAAAAAAATCAGGACGAATCCAATATTTCACTATCATAAATTGTGCTGAAATATAAATTCTTATATGTAAATGTTATGAGAATCTTTTATTATTTCTGTAGGAAAGTTTCTAGAAGGAGAATGACTATGTCAAAAAGAATGGACGCACACAGGGATTTTGATAGCTGCTCATAAATCATCTTTTTAAAAAGACAACAGCAGTTCTACTCCAACCCACTGTGGATGAGAGATCTTGCTCACCTTTGTTTTTTCTTTTGTTCCAGATGCCGATCCCATTCCAAATCTAGAACATCATTCACATCTTGGACAGCAAACTTCACATACTGATGAAGGCGCCTAATCTCCTATAAGAAAAAAATTAAAAGGCAAATGACCATTTTTCTGATAGCTTGGAGTAAGATGTATCAAAACAGTCAAAATAATTATGAAACATTTCCACAGTGGGATCCATAAGGAACAAGGAAAACATAATAGGTTTAGCATAATCATCAAAATGTTATAATTAAACTGAAAAACAGAAAATTATCTTAATGGTTTGACAGAGAAGTAGTAAATACAAAGAAAATAAAAACAGAATGGGTGTGTCTGCCTAAGGCCTCCAGAGAACAAATGTTCTTGCTCAGCTCTGCTTGATCAGCTCCGTGAATATGTCAACATAGTCTGGGAAATTTCCACTGTAATTCCACCCAACATAGTATATCCATTTAGTTTTTGCTCTCCCACCCATGAAATTAGTTATAAACAAAATTATCCTACAAAACAATGAAAATAATTCTGAACCTATATAGTCACATAATAGACTATATAAGCCATCTCACCAATTGAGAAATACTCATTTGTTCTTAAAAACTAAAAATAGGTATTTTGGATTACATGTGAAAACCTCACACTGTACCCCAGAAGTGCATTAATGTACATAGTTACCATTCAATAAAAAAACAAACAAACAAAAAAAAAACTAAAAATAGGGCTCAGCACCCATAGCTCAGTGGTTAGGACACCAGCCACATAAACTGAGGCTGGCAGGTTCGAACCCATCCTGGGCCTGCCAAACAACAATGACAACTATAGCAACAACAATAAAAAATAGCTGGGCATTGTGGCAGGTGCCTGTACTCCCAGCTACTTGGGAGGCTGAGGCAAGAGAATGGCTTAAGCCCACAGAGTTTTGAGGTTGCTGTGAGCTATAGCCACAGCATGTGGCTATGATGCCATAGCACTCTACTGAGGATGACATAGTGAGACTCTTGTGTCAAAAAAAAAGCATAAGTACTAAATACTGAATTTATCATTATTAAAGTCTTAACTATTTAACTTATTTTAGGGCTGCAATAATGGTCTTTAGACCACTGGACGGTGCCCATAGGTCAGTGGGTAGGGTGCCAGCCCCATACGCCAAGGCTTGCAGGTTTGAATTTGGACTGGGCCAGCTAAAGCAACAATGACAACTGCAACAGCAAAAAAAACAGCTGGGCATTGTGGTGAGTGCCTGTCGCCCCAGCTACTTGGGAGGCTGAGGCAAAAGAATTGCTTGAGCCCAGGAGCTTGAGGTTGCTGTGAGCTGGGATGCCATGGCACTCTACTAAGGGTAATATAGTGAGAGTCTGTCTCAAAAAAAAAATAATTTAGGCCATTGTTAAACTTCTTGGCTATGCAACTTAACTCTCAAAAATTAAAAATAGAACCAGGTATGGTAGTGTGCACCTATAGTCCTAGCTACTTGTGAAGATGAGCCTGGAGGATCACTTGAGCCTAGGAGCTTCAGGCTGTAATGCACTATGATTATGCCCATAAATAGCCACTGCACTATAGCCTGGACAACACAGCAAGATCCTGTAAAAAAAAAATTAAAAAGATCAAACATCCAATTAAGAATGTATACAAATGAAGATGAAATGTTACACACTAAGGAAAAATCTATACATATGTATAAAGATCTTATTAAGTTTAAATATGTTTTCAAAATTATTCACAGATAAGGGTGTATGTCCCAACTCAAAAAGAGAAAATGTCATTTAAAAGGAGCCAAGCTGATTCAAGGGAAGTAACAGTGGCCTTAATAGCAAATACAGATTTCTAGTCAGTACTTGATGATCAGAGGGGCTCTGTCCTTCGGCCATTTCCGATGCAGTTATGATGTGGAAATGGATATTATGCATTATCTGATGTTTCCTCTGAATTTCCCCCCCCCCCCAACTGTGTCTACCACGAAAATCAATTCTGTCATGGGCTATTACAAATACTTCTTTTCTGTGGCTTAGTTGTTTCCATAGCAACACATCCTACATTAAATTTGTATGTTCGTTGTTCGCACTATCACACAGCCATGGGAATTACAGATTGTGCATAGCCTTTAAGAGCATAGGCTCTGGAGGCAAACTGCTCAGGCCAAGGTTACAGGATTTATTGGTGGTGAAACCCAGGCAGTTTCAGGTACCTTAGTCTCCTCTTTGCTTTGTACATAGTAAGCACTCAATATATGCCAACTGTGGCTCGGTGCCTGTGGCTCAAGCGGCTAAGGCGCCAGCCACATACACCTAAGGTGGTGGGTTCGAATCCCCAGCCCGGGCCCGCCAAACAACAATGATGGCTGCAACCAAAAAATGGCCAGGCGTTGTGGAGGGCGCCTGTGGTCCCAGCTACTTGGGAGGCTGAGACAGAAGACTTGCTTGAGCCCAGGAGTTGGAGGTTGCTGTGAGTGTGATGCCATGGCACTCTACCCAGGGGGATAGCTTGAGGCTCCGTCTCAAAAAAAAAAAAAAAAAAAATATATATATATATATATAGATATAGATATAGATATGCCAACTGTTATTGTTTACTTAGCACCACAAAATATTTTTCTTTTTAAGGAAGAACATTGTCTCCTAAAAGATGCATGCTTTCCTCTTAGTTTGGCAATAGAACAAGAGGTGGAAAAGACACATAGGAAGAACATGTAACTAGGATGCAGCGTGGAGGCCTACATACAATTCGATGAGCAGTGGGCGGGCAGTCAGCACTCTCTTGCTACGAGAGGTAACATCCACAGCAGAAGGAAGCTGCATGAGGAATACCAGAGGGCTGCAGAGAACAACAGGGTTCCTCAACCTTTCTGAGAGAAGGGACCACTCTCAGAAGTGAGTACATTTTCTTACTATCGGTAAGGTGGGAAGAAAATATGGGCACAGTAAAGTCTGTAGCCTTAAATTTGTTAAAGCACGTCTGAGGTGAGGAAGACCAGAGCTGTAATGCATGTGCCCTGCCCACCAAGAGTCCAGGCAAATGTGAGAAGGCAGAAGAGGACTCCCTCACTAAGACAACAAACGTAACGATTTTGGATACATCAAAAGATGGAAAGCAAAATTAGATAGCTTTAGTAAAGACTAAGAATATTTAAGAATTAACGAGGAAAAAAGTAAGGCACACAGGAAAGAATCTGGGCAGACAGAAGTTTCAATTCCGGTTCCACTCTCACTAGCCAACATGACTTGGGCAATCTACTTAGCTAAAGAAACTAAATTTATCTGTACAATGGGATCCTAACTCTTATCTTTTTTTTTTTTTTCATTAAGTCATATATACATAGATCATGAATACATTTATGCCTTTGTGGGATTCAATGTGTTGATTATTTGTGCAAATTGCAGTGCTTACATCCTACTAGTTAACATAGCTTTCACCTAATCATTTACTTAATCACAGTGTGTAGTTAAGACATTTGTGTTCTATACTTGATAGATTTAACCCTAACTCTTAACTTGCAGAGCAGCTGGCTTTGAAGACTAAAAATAATGCATAAAATCACCTAGCAGCCAGGAGTGGTGGCTCACACCTATAATCCTAGCAATCTGCAAGGCTGAGGAAGGTTTGCTTGAGCTCAGGAGGTAGAGACCAGCCTGAGCAAGAGTGAGACCTCACCCCTACTAAAAATATAAAAATTAGCTGGGCATCATGGCAGATGCCTATAGTCCCTGCTACTTGAGAGGCTAAGGCAGGAGGAATGCTTGAGCCCAGGAGTTTGAGGTTGCTGTGAGCTGTGATGATGCCACTGCACTCCTGCACCACAGCTTGGGAAACAGAGGACTCTATCTCAAAAAACACAAAACAAACAAAACCCCTCAAAAAACACCTAGCAGATTACCTGTCACTCAAAAAATAGTTGCTACTTTAAGTATTTTTATTCATAACTTGACTTATAAATATATGTTTTAGGAGAGTACTTTCTGTTAAGTTTAAGGTTTAAAAAGAATTTTATTCTGTTAGTAAAAATATTAAGTAGAAAAGTGTGCCACTTTCTTTGCCATGGTTAAGACAGTTTATGGAAAATGTGGTAAATTATAAGCAGAAAGCCAACAACTTCATAGGGGGCCATCATCCAAATCCATACCTACAGAAAGAGCAACTTGCAAATCAATTTGTTTTTAAATCTTCTCAATAGCTTAAAACAGATCCTCCTACCTGAAGCTGAGCTTCACTTTTGGGATCCAGAGGTCTTTTATAAAGCAAATGGAGATAGCCAGAGTCACGATTTCTTTCATTTTGTTCTCTGGCTTCTTCAACACCAGCAAAGCCCTCAAGTAACGCTGTTTTCAGGGTACTTATATCTCCATGAAGAGACTAGAAAAGGTACAAGAAGATATTGATATAAAAGTTTTTTAGGCTCAGCACCTATAGCTCAACCGGCTAAGGCGCCAGCCACGTACACCTAAGGTGGCGGGTTCGAATCCCCAGCCCGGACCCGCCAAACAACAATGAC